TCTCCCCGCTTCCTCCTCGGCCTGGGAAAGGGTCTGGAGGGAGCTTCTTTGCCCGGAAAAGATGCCCACGGAGACTTGAATGGCCATGTTTAGCTTCTGCTCCGTGTCACATCTTCATGGTGCATCCCAAAGGCTGCATGGGATGCCCATGGAGCAAGTTATCCCATGCTCAGGGGAGTCTCCTGGCAAGGACCAAGCATCCTCCAAGCATCAATGCCTACAAGTATCTCAAGGGAGGGTTGAAGGAGGAGGGAGCCAGACTCTTTGCAGTGGTTCCCAGTGAGAGGACGAGGGGCAACGGGCACAAGTTGGAACAGAAGAGGTTCCACTCAAATATGAGGAGAAACTTCTTCACGGTGAGGGTGGCAGAGCCCTGGAACAGGCTGCCCAGGGAGGGTGTGGAGTCCCCTTCTTTGGAGATTTTCAAGACCCGCCTGGATGCTCCTGAGTAACATGCTCTGACAAGCTCTGGGTGGTCCTGCTTTAGCAGGGGAGTTGGACTAGATGATCTCTATGGTCCCTTCCAACTCTAAAATTCAGTGAAATTCAGTGAAATCCTTGAAAGGACACTGTAGAGAGGTTGGTGCTGGTCTCTTCTCACAGGTAATTAACGACAGAACAAGAGGGAACGGCTTCAAGCTCCACCAGGGTAGGTTTAGGCTGAACATTAGGAAGGAATTTTTCACAGAAAGAGTGGTCGGGCATTGGAACAGGGAGGTGGTGGAGTCCCCATCCCTGGATGTGTTTAAGGGACATTTAGATGTGGTGCTGAGGGACATGGTGTAGGGGAGGACTTTGTAGAGTAGGGGAGATGGTTGGACTCGATGATCCCAAGAGTCTCTTCCAACCTAGACCATTCTATGATTCTATGATCCTCAGCATCTCAGGGCTGCATCCCAAACCTCTACAACACCAGGAGGGACCAACTGGCTGCTCTGGAGCAGCTCAGAGCTGGGGGACAAGCATTTCCCACACACCCAGGGCAGGTTTGTCCATCTGTGCCCAGTTAAAGGGCTTCCAGGCTACCCAAACCATCAGCCAGACCTAAGGGCTGCCTTTGTCACAACAAAGACGGGTCTTTTGGGATGTAAAAGCCACATTTGATAAAGCTGGCGGCAGTGGCCCAGTGCCTAAACTGGAGAAGCACCAATGGATTTAAAAAACCCCTCTAAAGCCACCTAAGATGATGTATCAAAGTCCCCCAGGCCAAGCAGCGGGAGATGCCCCTCAAAGCCCAACTTTGCAAGATGCCACCCCATTTTCGGGTCCTTCACCCCCAAACACATCAACGCTGAACATCAAGAAGCATCAGGGACCTTGGGGACAAGCAGGGGGAAACGTGGCCCCCACCAAACCCATTACCAGTATCTGGAACGAGGATGGGAAATGTCCCATCCCTTCCCCATCATAAAATTGATTAAATATTTCCGGAGATAAAAACAAACACTCCACATTTGGCTTTTTTGATGGTTGTTTTTCTTGAAGAGACAAAGTGTTCCACAGAAAGCAGACACTTCCTACACAAGTTTTCATACTCAAACCCCGAGGGCTTGTTTTTTTGGTTTGGTTTGGGGTTTGGTGGTTGTTTTTTTTTTTGTTGCCACTGATTTTGATGGGAAACACGTAGCCAGCCCTTCACCCACCCCATCTCCATCCCAGAGATCACCCAAGCCCCAGCAGGGCTGTAGCACCCCCCGTCCCGTTGGGAAGCATCACATGGAGATGGAGAGAACTTAAGTGAGGTTTCCCCTTCTCACTTGGGAATAATAAGAAAAAAAATTTTTTAAAAAAATAATAAAAATAAAATATCAAGTTTCCTGACCTTACAAATCCCATCGTAACCCATAAAAAGCAACCCCGTCGCCTGCGCACACCTCGGCCCCAACACAGGATGAGGCAGCTCTTGTTCCCACTCACTCCAGGGGGGATTTTTTTGGGGGAAAAAACCTTATCCCGAAGCTTCCTTACAGGTTAAGGAGTAAGAAAAAAATATATACATTCCTATAGAGAAAGCCTGAAGCAATTCAGTTCTCTGCAAGCAATTTAAGGCTGTCCAGCCCAAAATTGAACCCCCACTGGTCGCACCCTCCAAAATTGAGAAGGCTCCAGGGTGTGTGGAGCTGGGGATGTGTTTTCTGGCGAGGGTCGGAGGAGAGAAGAAATGCAAACCCAAGGAAGCAGCAGGGCCCCCGATGGGAAACACGTAGCCAGCCCTTCACCCACCCCATCTCCATCCCAGAGATCACCCAAGCCCCAGCAGGGCTGTAGCACCCCCCGTCCCGTTGGGAAGCATCACATGGAGATGGAGAGAACTTAAGTGAGGTTTCCCCTTCTCACTTGGGAATAATAAGAAAAAAAATTTTTTAAAAAAATAATAAAAATAAAATATCAAGTTTCCTGACCTTACAAATCCCATCGTAACCCATAAAAAGCAACCCCGTCGCCTGCGCACACCTCGGCCCCAACACAGGATGAGGCAGCTCTTGTTCCCACTCACTCCAGGGGGGATTTTTTTGGGGGAAAAAACCTTATCCCGAAGCTTCCTTACAGGTTAAGGAGTAAGAAAAAAATATATACATTCCTATAGAGAAAGCCTGAAGCAATTCAGTTCTCTGCAAGCGATTTAAGGCTGTCCAGCCCAAAATTGAACCCCCCACAGGTCGCACCCTCCAAAATTGAGAAGGCTCCAGGGTGTGGGGAGCTGGGGATGTGTTTTCTGGCGAGGGTCGGAGGAGAGAAGGAACGCAAACCCGAGGAAGCAGCAGGGCCCCTGTGTCCTCAGATGCCACCTCAGCCTGAGATGCGCCGAGTCGTCGTCTGGGAAGGAACCGGTGCCAAGAGAGGAGCCTTCAGCTGCACCGGGGACCTGCCCACCACCCAGTGCCACAGCTGCCAGCCCACCCCCAAAAATAACCACCTCCCCAGCCCAGCCCCGGTGTTTTCACTCATTCACTCACGTTTTCAGCCTCAAAAAGGCAAAACCCGCATCCCCCCGGCGCAGCCAGGAATGGTCCAGGTTTGCTCATCCCCCCCAAATCTTCCCCCACAGCATCATTTTCTGGACACAGCAGCATCCAGCCAAGGCCCTTCCCTTCTCCCTGCACGTAGTTTGCTTTCCAGGACAAAAAAATTAAATAATAAATAAAGAGAAGCAACTGCCTGCATCCCTGGGAAACTTCAAACTCCTGGAAAGCGATGCCCGAGCGACGGGTGGTTTTACATCCAGCACCCGCTGCCAGGGAGGATGATTTTTTTGGGGGGGGAAGAATCAGACATCTTTAAGGGAAAGTTATACTTGGAGCCATGTGATCCACGGGGGGAAGAGACTCTCCAGACGGCGCCGAAGCAGCCAGAAAAACTGATTTTTTTAACACTTCAAGGTAAAGCCAAGACGCACCAGAGCCGAGTTTCTCCCTTATGAGCCGTGGCTGAGTGTCTGCAGCTGCTGGGGTCGAAGCTAATGATGGGCACCTGAAGCTAATGATGGGCACCTGAAGCTAATGATGATCAGCACCCAGCAGATATTGGGGTGCCAACAAGGGTGGCACTGGGGACATGGGGACAAGGGCGCCTCTGCAAGCTCCTGCCAGCACTCCCTCCCACCGGCTGCGGTCCCCAAGCCTGGCAGGGGACAGTGTGACGCTTTGGGGGTGCTGGATGTCACCCCAACAGGCAGGGAAGACCCGCAGGACACCCCACTTCTCCCCCCCCGCCCCATTGCCCTGGGTGCAGCCCCCAGGAGGGGGCGCCGCGGCTCCCAGCGCTCCCAGTGAAGTTCAAGGCTGCCACCTGGCGGCGAAAAAGGGGAACAGCAGCCCCGGTACCATCGAAGCGGGGGGGGGGGGGGCCCGGGCAGGCACAGGGCTCCCCCCCCTCAACCTTAATTACCACCACGCACCAACCCCACAGAATCAATCTTCTAGGTTGGAAGGGACCTTAAAGATCATCTTGGCCAACGCGTTACAAATCCTGCCATTAATTATCGGATTCATTAAGGCGGTTTCACCAGCCAGGGGGGTGAAGACCCAGCCAAAGCCTGGGGTGGCTTTGAAAAAGTTTACAGGCAAAATATTAATAATTAATTGCAAAAAATAATAATAATAAAAATATATATAAATCAATACATGCAGTTTTTGCTCCTCTCTACAAAGATGCTGGGAGGGCTGGAGCCCCTCTGCTGGGAGGGGGGGCTGAGAGAGTTGGGGGGGTTCAGCCTGGAGAAGAAAAGGCTCCAGGGAGACCTTGGAGCCCCTTCCAGTCCCTCAAGGGGCTCCAGGAGAGATGGGGAGGGACTCTGGATGAGGGAGGGGAGCCCTAGGAGGAGAAGGAACAGGTTCAAACCAAAAATTAGGAGATGGAGATGAGATTTTGGGAGGAAATTCTTCCCCCTGAGGGTGGTGAGAGCCTGGTCCAGGTTGCCCCAAAGAAGCTGTGGCTGCCCCATCCCTGGAGGGGTTCAAGGGCAGGTTGGAGGGGGCTTGGAGCAACCTGGGCTGGTGGGAGGTGTCCCTGCCCATGGAAAATGTTTGGAATGAGATGATCTTTGAGGTCCCTTCCAACCCAAACCACTCTATGAACTGGAGTTTCCTTTTACCCACAGCTCAGCCTCAAACCAAAACCCTGAAGCGACGGGGAAGCACAAGGGGAAAAAAAAAATAACAAGTTCAGAAAGTCACCCCAACTTCAGGCAGAGTTTTAACCAGCACAAACCAAGCAACTGATAACATTTTGGCAGCGGGTCGGCGGTGCCAGGGTGTGCATGGCACAGGGCAAACCGGTTCCAGACCATCCCCCAAAAACCCAAACTGCAGGGGTTGGGTGTCCCTGCCCTGGCCCTGCTCCCAGCCAGGGTGTCACAGCTCAAAGTTCAAGCACACAGGTCCGAAAGCAACCCTTTCCCAGACAATTCCCCCCCAAAAAAATCCAGCAACACCTTTAATTAATGAGGAAAAGGGGGGAGCAAGGGCAGCTGCCCACCAGAGATGCCACCAGGGACTCACCTTCTCAGCCTGGGGGTAGCGGACACGGGGGCTGCCCCACTCCCTGCTGATCCGCCGCCGGTACTGGTGGCACTTGGGGACATAGATGCAGCTCACGTCACCCACCTCTGGGTAGATAACTTCCAAATCCCCTCTGGAGAGAGCCAAAAAAATAAAAAAAAGAAGAAAAACACACATCAGGCAAGACCACACCGTGCAGGGGGATGGGAAGTTTTGATATTTATCAAAATAGAAATATTTTTAATATTTATAGTGATATTATTCTGCTTTTTGGGCATTGACAGTGCCATAACACATCAGATACCTCCAGCCCCAACTTCTGCACGAAATCATTTCCACTTCTGCATCGTCCAAGAGAGAAAGGGGCCACCAGAGCGAGCTGTTGGGTCACCACATGTCTCAATTCCCCCCCCCAAGAAGATCAGCTGCCACCAGCGTGACCCCCACAGGAGGGACCCTTAAATCCTGCAGCCCCAGAGGCTGAGATTTCACAGCGAGGAGTTTTCACTCATGGTTTGTGGGAGGAAGCTGGGGCCGAGCAACACCTCCACTCGCCTTTTTTAGAATCATCTAGGTTGGACAGGACCTTAAAGATCACCTAGTCCAACCATCAACCTCACTCTGATAAAAAATAAATAAGAAATAAGCAATAAAAATAAATAATCACTAAACCACGTCAACCCGTCTTTTGAACACCTCCAGGGATGGTGCCTCAACCACTTCATCTAGAGGCTTACGTTGCTCACATTATGAGGGCATTTTGGTGAATTAAATAGCAGAAAGGATGCTTTTTGGTGCAGTAACACCCCATTACATGGGGTGTTAAGAACCCCCCAAAGGCAAGGGGGCGTCTTTTGAACATCTCCAGGGATGGTGCCTCAACCACTTCATCTAGAGGCTTACGTTGCTCGCATTGAGAGAGCATTTTGGTGAATTAAATAGCAGAAAGGATGCTTTTTGATGCGGGAGCTCTCAGTAATGTGGGGTGTTAAGAACCCCCCAAAGGCCAGGTAGGGGGGGGGCCACACATCCCACTGCTCACCCAGCCTTGCCTGGGGGTTTGATGGAGACGGGAGGCAACAGGAGTTTAAGCTGAGGAGCTTGAGGATCAAAATATTTGATTGAGGGAATGCATTTGGTGCCCAGCCTTGCCTGGGGGTTTGATGGAGACGTGAGGCAACAGGAGTTTAAGCCAAGGAGCTTGAGTATCAAAATATTTGATTTTGGGGGTGCATTTGGTGCCTGTTCAGCTCGTGGGGGGGGTGGTGTGTCCAGCACCAAACTGCCTGTTTGGTGCCCCCCTCCCTTCCCCATCCTGCATCCTCCTCTTCCCATCCCCACACTGCATCTCCTCTGCGGGATGAACTTTTCTAGCACCTTCCTTCCCCAAAAAAAACTCCCCGCAGAAAGAGGTTTGTCACCCCTGGTGCCAGTTAAGTCACTTTTTAAGTCTTTTCCCCCCAAAAAAGGGACTGAGGAACAACTGGAGGTGACCGGTGAGGCCGAGAGAGCTCAGCTTGAATAAAATAAAGAGCTGAGGAGAGCGTGGCTCTGCTTCACTCTGGCCCAGATTCCTGGCAAAAAGAAGAAAGCAACCAATATTTATAGCCCTGGCAAAAAGGGGATCCTGGAATTAAGTGTCTCGGGAGGTGACAAGGGCAGCGTGTGACTGGATGCCCAGTTGGAAAGGAGATGGGAAGGCAAAAGGAAAGGAAGTTGGAAAGGAGTCTCTCACCTGCAGAAGTCCTTGTCCGTGCCCTCCAGGGTCTGGAAGAAGCAGGTCCGTGATGGTTCATCCTGCCAGAGATGCTGGTCCCCCCTGGCAGCGGTGGCCAGCAGGCCAGTAGCCAGCAGCACAGCAGCCAGCAGCTTCATCCTGCCCTGTGGGGACCAAGGGACAGAGAAGGTCAGTCCCAGGGGAAAACTGTCACCCAGCACCGTCCCCCCGGCATCTGCTGGCAGCCAGAGCATCCCCACCACCACGCTCCCCCCAAAAACCAGCTCCCCTCCTTCCACATCATTTTTTCCCCCCAGTTCCACATGGTTAATCCCATTTATACCAGAAATGAACTGCTTCCTGCTGGTGCCCTCCCCATGCCAGGAAACACCAAGCCCACCAGCAAGACCCCACTTCTCAGAGGACCTCTTTCTGCTCACCCCCAAGGAGAGGGCATTGCCACCAGGGATGCAGACACACACCACGAGCTGGGCATCCCAGTGACAATCACCAGCGGTCACCCTGACACCACATCCCAAGCCCAGGTGGCACCAAGAAGGGGACAGAGTCCCCATCACCATGTGCCAGCCCCACTGCTCTCTGATATGATGGAAAAGATGGGGAAAAATTGGGTGTCAGGCTTGGTCATGGTCCAACCAAGGCCATCACCAATGGATACACCAACCAGCAGCACCGCTGACCCACACATCCCTGATGCCAGGTAGATCCTCTCCCCAAGGAGGACAGCACAAAGGGTTCACCTGGAACCCAACCACCCCCTCCAGAGCTTTTCCCACAAGAGGACAGCCATGGCCACCCATTTTTAATCTATTAAAAAACCAAAAAGAAGCCCACGCCAAGCCCTGAGGGTGAGGGGAGCTGGGGTATGAGGTTGATACACCCCCATGCCAGCCAAGCCCAACGCCAGCCCTCACCTCCCCGGGCTGCACCGAGGTGCCTGCAGTAGCCAGAGGGACCCGGTGGCCAAGGCCACCAGGGCTGGACCTGCCGAGGCACTTACCCACCAGGTCCCAGGGAACGGGTGAGCAGCTCCGAGGCAGAGCCTGGAGGTTTGAGGTTGCCGTGGAGATGGTTTCCTTGGAAGGAAGGGAAGAAGGGACACGGGGAATGAAATCACAGCCCCCCAGGGGGGGGAAAGGGGCAGCTCATCCCATGGAGGGGCATAAAAACTAGGTTTTCATCCCATGGGGCAGCTCATCCCATGGAGGGGCATAAAAACCAACGGGTTTTCATCCCACCACAACCTTCTTCAGCTGACCCACCAGCTCCGGGTCCTCACCTGGCTCTAATCCCCAGCCTTGCACTGATGATTTCCCAGCTAATTAGAAAGGATGCCACCCAAACACTCCTTTGCACTGCTCTGTCTTCTCCATTGCCTCATCGGAGCTGGATGAGGCATAAGCAAAAAAAAAAAACCACCCCAACTGTCAGTTGGGAATGGTTATTACAACACATACTGTATCCTTACATAATGAAGCTCCGGCACGCAGCGCCAGCACGAGTTAAGTGCTGTCATTACGGAGAGAAAAAGGCATCAGGCTTAACTAATTAGAAACATTAATGTACGGGGAATGATCTGGAGGTTTTTAGGGGCTAATGGCTCCGGTTCCCACGCTCCACGATGGGCAAAGCCCATAATTAGAGCCCAGCTCCTGCAAACAGGCTCACGTGAGACAACCCTTTTCCCAGGAAGGCTGGTTTGCATGAGTCAGGATCACCAAAAACGGGGTTTGCATCCTCACATGCCATGGCAAAGCTTGGGAGGTGCAGGGGGGGTTGATAACCCATGGTCCTAGAGCAATCACAGGAGTGCCCAAGGACTATTGTTAATAAAGATTCTCCTCATCTCACACCCAGAGGTTCTCCACCAGGGAAAGGTGGGTTTCTTAGAAAAACAGACACACAGAAAGCTGATATTTTGGCTGGGAACTTGGCAAAGGGGTGACAGGCAGAAGGACAAGTGGCTCCGAGCAGGATGGACACAGGGTCTCACACACCAGGAGAACCTGCAGACACAGACCAGGGACTCTTCCTGCCAAAGTGCCCCTCACCATGGTAAATCCAGTGGGTTTGGGCATTTATTTAAGCACGAGAAGAGCAAGGCTGACACGGGGACTCGCATCGCTGTGGTCCTGGAAGTTCAAACCCCCAGGTCTGTCCCGGGAGGGGTGGCAGAGGAACATCAGTACCAGGCAGTACCCAACTCCAGTTGGCTCCTGTACCAGCTTTGGGCTCATTACCCAAAGAACAGCAAAAGCCAGAGGCAGGATGAAGTCTGAACAGACCCAAGAGGGGTATTTGGTTTTATTTTAATCCCAGAGACAGAGAGAAGGCCCTCTGTGAGACAGTATCAGCCACTTCCATCAGGAGACCTCCCAAGAGGATCATCGTGAAGTGGGAACAGTTCAAAAGGGTTTGGAAACAGCCAAGGTGCAGAGGGATCCCCCAAGGATGCTCTGGAAGGAAAATAAAAGACCACCCATGGGAGCAGCATCCCTGTGTAAGACAAACCACAGCTTCTTCTCTAACACCTATTTGCAGGGGAATTATTAAGAGCCTATTTCTCCTGCTTTGGAGGTTTAGGGGCGTTTAGGGAGGTTTAGGTGGAGTTGCAGAGGGAAGCCCATGCAAACCCACACCACCAGGGTATAAAACACACAGGAAAGTTGCTGGACAACAGCTCCTGTGATGCTCCCCCAAGGACAGAGGGGCACAAAGCCACTGGGATTATTTACTTTAGCCACACGCCTGGGACAGGGTGACCCAGGAGCTGGCAGCACTGCCAGGCTGTAGCTGACACAACCCCGACGGCACAAATACCCCAGGGCTGGGCAAACCCACCCAGGGGCTTTAAATTTAAAATTTAGATTAGGGGTTAGGGGATTAGGGGCTTTAGATTTAAAATTAAAAGTGAGAATTGGTGGCTTTCACAATAACTCGTTCAATTTCTTCGAGGAAAATTGCGTGCCGTTGTTTAAGTGAGGGATGGAACACAGTAATTCTCTCTAATACTTACAATGAACACGTAAAAACCAGCATTTAAATTAATAATATTTTATACTACGGACCCATCTTTGCTTTGTGCTGGAATCTTCACAGGAACAGCTCCCATTCTACTTAAATTAGGCGCAGCTACCTTTGAAGGTGCAAAGGTTGCTTTTTTGACCAGGAGGACGTTCAAAATCTTCACTTGGGACTTGGCTATATAGAGTTTTGGTATATCCTTCCATATTTGAGTCTGGAATGCTGATTCCCAGCATTATCCATCTCCCTGGGTCTATCTGGAGCTCTCCCAACCGGGAGAACCCATCAACCACGTGTCCCCAAGAGCTTCCCCTGGGGAGAAGGAATCCTCCTCCCCTGGGAAAACAGCCATCCCGTGGTGTCAGGGCAGGTCGGGAGCACGAGGCAGGTTCCTCTCCCAGCAACCCGGGGGTGTTGGGTGTTTGGACATCCCCTCTCCTGACTAAGCAGTGCAGGACTGCAGGAATCCTGTCCTTCCAGCCTCCGGGAAGCCTCCGGCGCGATGCTGTGGCTCCACAGCTCAGGGAAATTACATTCACCCAGGATTTTCCCTCCCTGACACACACACACTCAAGGATGCTGCCCTCCAAAGTAGATGCTTCATGCTATTTTTGTTCTGTTTCATTCTTGAAAACGCTACTTTAAACCCCAACACTTCCTGCTTTTCAGGTTTTTTTATCATTTCTGTGCAAACCAGGCACAGATTTGCCTTCCCGGGCAGCAAATATGACCTGGGGAGGGGGGGGACACAGGTTTAACCACCCTCAGACAACAAACTGCACATCATACATGTAACCCCCCCCTCCCTCCCCTTCCTCCAAACCCCAGTGGAAGGAGATGAAGGAATTGCTTTTAAGCCACTGTTAATTTGGAGGATGGCTTGAAACCACAGCCCTCAACACCTCTCCCCATGCCCCATCCTCACACAGTCCTGGATTATTGGACAGGGAGGTTCCTGACTTACCAGGAACCCATATTTGTGGGGAAAAAAAACCAATAATAAAGCTTTCAAAGATACCACATCCAACCTTTGCATATATTCATTTAGTTAATCAGATGAGAGAAGGAATGATGTGGAGCCCGCAGAAGCAGAGTGCTGCAGTCCCACCATCAATTCAGTTCAGGAGGAGATATAAAATTATATACATATATATAAATTTTGTATTTCCAGCAACCCAAATCAGGTCCTAAAGCCACTAAAAAGCCCCTCACAGTTGGCAAAGCTAAGACATAGGTAAGGAAATCATCGTTGTCTACTAATAATAGAGATGAAAAGGCTCTTGGAAAAGGGAAACTACCTGAAGGGTGGGAAGGGAAGGAGAAGTCTGGAGCTTGCTCCAACAACAAAGCCCACGTGAGAGCCAAAGCAAAGTGTTGGGAGCCAAGTTACACACATCAGCTGATCCACGGGGCCACAAAACGGGTGGCCACAGAGGAAAAGAGAAGGTGGCCCATCTTGGGCATTGCTGAGCCCCCCAGCCCAGCACCTCACACCTTTGCAGCCCCTTTCTTGATACCCTCCTAAAGCCCCGTCAGCTGCTACCCAGGTCCCAAACTCCGTGCCAGGAAGCACCAGGACACAGTTTAACCAAAAATCAAAGTGTTTCAAGGAACCTCACAGGGACCAGCTGAACCTGAGAGGCTCCCAAAGCTTTCCCAGGATCACAAAACCTCCAGCTCTGCTGCAGTTTTACTCAATGCTGGGCTTTAGTGCAAAAGCAAGAGCTTCCAGGACCAAATTTCACTGGAATAAAAAGCCAGTTTCTTATAAAGATTTATGCCAGGGGCCAAAAGCATATTGTTTGCAAGCTCTGGAATTTCCCACCCCAGCCACTGGCTTCCTGTTGATGTTAGTTTAAGATTAACCAGTGCCATTTATAATCCACTTCAGCCTTTCTTCTGACTTCGCCCTGCACCATAAAAAGCTATTTTATTTCATGGCACCTAAGTTTACCTCCATCCCCACTTCATTAAGCAACCTCAGCTCTCTCTCCCCAGACGTTAATTGCCTGCAGGGGCAAGGCAGGGAGGCGTCACTGGGTTTGAGTTTCCCCAGTCCCGTGACACAGGAAACCTGGCACCAGGGTTTTTGCTGGGTTTTTATTTCCTCCCAGTTTGTTTCAGGCTGCAGAGAAAAAAAAAAAAATAATCTCTCTCGCCACTAAAATCCACTAGAAACTCCATCCCTTTCTGGCCACAGAGCCCAAACTGTTGCTTTGCTTTAATGCTCCTGAAAACAAAGATTCCCTTGGCGTTGCATGAGCAAACTCACATAGAAACCAATTCCTACAGCCTGAAAAACAGCTAAAAAAAAAGTATTTACACTGTTGATACCCACCAGCGGGACTGTAGGAAGCTGAAGACTTGGCAGAGCCTCAGCAGCCAGAGAAATTCCCTCAATCTTTGTCTTGCAGGAAGCCCATTTTTTCAGATTTTTTTTTTTTTTTTTTTTTTTTGACATGGCAATCAGCAAAGGAAACAGAAAACCACATCCTCTCTCTCCATTCATAACCTGCTGCACCTCCAGCCGTGCCCTGGCACCGTTCTGCCTCTTATCTCCCCCTTCTTCATAGTCCCTCCTTGCAGGGCCACCAGCTTCACTCCCAGCTTCCACCCAGTGACCACAAGGTCATCTTCACCTTGCCCCAGCCACCCTGCAGGGCAAGAGGTTTCCAATTAAGAAACCACTCGTCCCACAACACACCATCGATTTGCATCTGCACTGATTTGTGGGGCCGGCTCCCCTCCTGAGAGAGCTCTAAGGTTCTGGGGAGAGTTTAAGTGGATATAGGGGATGTGACAGCTTTATTTGGCTCAAGGTGGGGGGTCTCTGGTTTTCCTGGGTCTGTCCAGTACCATGTAAGGACCAGGAGCTGAAGACCCAGGTTGTCACTGCAGAAGACAGAGCTGCCCAGTGGCACCACCAGCCCTTGAGTGTGATAGTGGAATAAAATTAATACAAACCTGCTCAATACAAACATTATAGCCCCAAGTAGATCATACAAGTGCAAGGGTTCAATAGTTAAGCCTGTATTTGTAGGTCTTCACAGCATAAATAAGATGTTGGAGCAAAATATCCCTCCTAAAGCCCCCGGGCAGACCCCTGTGAGCCCCCAGAGCTTTGCATTTCACACAGTGCAGCCCGAGAGATTAACGGGGAGGGATTTTTGGCTTTTCTCTTTTCACCTGCCAAAGCCCCAGCTCTGAACTCTCACCCCTGCCTGCCCCATTTTCCTGAGTGGGCAGCTGTGTCCGGTCAAGCTGGATTAAACGCTGCCACA